AAAAATATGGAAGTGCACCTTTTATGATAAAAATCAGATAAACTGGTATGTGATTTCTTATACCCGATTTTAATCAATGCTCAGCTATGCTCTCTATCCATAGTCTGTATACAGGGGTTGTCAAACGTTGGCCCTCCGGCTGTCGTGCAACTACAAATCCCATTAGGCTTTGCAGGATTGCATGACAGCCACAGACATGACTTCCAGAGGCAGATGCATGATGGGTTTTGTAGTGTCACCCCAACTAGAGGGCCAGAGTTTGCCTACCCCTGATCTATAATTTTCCTGGAAAAGGGGGGGTGGAGGCATCCCAGTTACACCTTAAGCTTGCATTAAGACATCCTGTGTACTCGTTCTTGTTTTTACACACGTAAACTAGGTTTTTAGTGTTTTGCAAACTTTGTACAAACGTTTTTACATGTGCATCAAACTTCGGGCATTGGAATACAGTAGCCCGGAATAGTGTCATCTATTCACGTTGGGAATCTGTTAGATTTCTTTTGGTTAGCCTGGAAACCAGCTTTACAAGAATAGTTAAATATATAAAAATATACGCTTTGGAAGTTGAATTGTCTTGTCTGTCTGTCTGTGTATATATGTGGACAAGATCACATTCATTCATTCATTCATTCAAAGCTTTGGGACTGTACAACCAGATGGGATTTATGACCATAGTGTAGGCAGTATTTGTCTTGTGAAATGGCCTATGTGCAAGTATGTCATAAGTGGGGTTTTTTTGTGGTGTTTTTTTTTGAGTGTTTACCTCATGGTGGTTAGAAATACCTTATTTATCTGTGTAGACTCTTGCAGACAATTTGATTAGGGAAATTGATTAAACCACAAGTAAAGGATGTTAAATTGACTCCATTTACTTTTGCCTTTCACTTATTTGTTTTGTTAGTGTGCCGAATTGTGATTTATTATCCTGTCTGCCTGTAAGCAGACTTTCTTTGAAGTTTTCAGGCTCCTTTTTCCAGTATGTTCTCCTCGAGTCAGTCTTTAATGGGATGCCATCTCAAATTCATTTTTTCATTCTTATTAAACAGATCCTTTAGAAGGCACGGGAGACAGTTCTGTGAAATCTAGAATGAATCTGGAAATGTCTCCCTGGTTATACTTGGATTTAAGATATTTTTTTTGTGTCTATAACCAATTACAGTAAAGCAAAACAAACGACAAACGCACTCAACAATTTGTTACCAGTTATACAGTAAGGTGCACACGAAATGGGCTTTGAACAGTAGAACAGTAGAAAGGCATCATGGCACACTCACAAACTAGCATGTAAAACAACTTGTCTCACCACTAAGGACAAGGACAGAGGTTTGGATACACGTCTTCTGCAAAGGATGTGTAAGCCGCGCCAAGGCACCTCTTATAGTGCGGTCCTAACTCTAAACTATGAGAGTCTCCATCTTGGAGCACATGGGGCAGAAGATATCAAATTGGGTGCAGGCCTGTCAGGAGGACGCCCCACCTCCTTAAAGGTACAGAAACACACAAGGGATCCCGCACATCCCATTGGCAGCTGAGAAACCCCATGCGTCGCTGCACCAAATCGGTAAAGCAAAACAAACTACAAACGCACTCAACAATTTGTTACCAGTTATACAGTAAGGTGCACACGAAATGGGCTTTGAACTATAAGAGGTGCCTTGGCGCGGCAGTGCGGCTTACACATCCTTTGCAGAAGACGTGTATCCAAACCTCTGTCATTGTCCTTAGTGGTGAGACAAGTTGTTTTACATGCTGGTTTGTGAGTGTGCCATGATGCCTTTCTACTATAACCAATTACAGACACAACACTTGAAAAATGGATACTTTGAAGTGTGCCGGTTCTTTGCGCTTTGTTTAATCAGCCAGTGCCATTTTTGGTCTGTTTATATTGAGAGTTTGGTATATTGATTAATTTGGAAGTGGCAGTTACAGAACATGAGGAAAGTCGTCTTATGGGTTAGAAAAAAAGACTAATAGTTTTAATTTTTTCACAGATTGGATCTAATCTGCTACCCATTCCATGGTCTTGAAAGTCCATTTCCACTAGCAAAGGAAGGTGTTGGTAATAATGGGTTGGCTTAGGCCTTAGCTGAAAAGTTGCACTGGACCCAAAGATGTTTACACAGCACTTGCTGGACAAGGACACATTAGAAAAGGGAATACTTTCTGCCCCATAAACTACAAAACTTAGTTACACGTTTGTTTAATTTTTTTAAACAAGAGCAATAAATTAACCACACCACTCTTTTGTTGGTTATTGCTCACATTGTCAACATGGCAAAGAATTGCTGACTCATAACTGATTCATAATCCGTATGAAGGTGATCCTGGTAAATTCTATTTATAGCATGATATACTCAGATTACAACAATGAGGAAAGTAATCTTCTATATGCAGTTATAAAGAATTATTTATTTACCATTTGTTGTAAACTTGAGAATGCAGAATTCATGCTGAATGTTGAAGTTCGTAGAATGGTCAAATCTGCACTTTCCACTTGGCCTGTAGGAGGCTGTGGGTTGTGTTAGCCCTTCCTTTAGTACCTTTTACCAAGCCACAGTTTCTTTGGGGATTTAGAGTTTTTCCCACTATGAAATTCTTCTAGAACAGCCTTTCGTAACCGGGGTTCCTCCAGAAGTTGCAAGGGGTTAATTGGGGGAGAGAGAGGTACCTGCAGTGACAATCAATGTAAGGGGTCGCTTCTCCACTGACCACTAATGCAAGGGGTCGCGCTTCTCCACTGACCACTAATGCAAGGGGTCGCATGTCCACTGACCACTAATGCAAGGGGTCGCATCTGCTCTGACCACCATTGCAAGGGGTCACTTTCCCACTTATTAGGGGTCACTTTTCCACTGACCACCAATATGTTGGGTCACTTTTCCACTGACCACCAATATTAGCGGTCACTTACCCACCGGCCGCCAATGTCAGGGGTCACTTACCCACCGGCCGCCAATGTCAGGGGTCACTTTCCCACCGGCCGCCAATGTCAGGGGCCAGGTATAATAATTTTTAGTGGGAGTTCCCTGAGGCATGAAAACTATTTCACAGGTTTCTCTGTGGTATAATGGGTGAAAAGGCTGCTCCTAGAATGTTTTTAGTCTGTGATAAATGTTATGATAAAAATCATTGTGACCACATGTAGTCTTCAATGGCTCTTCTCTGCTAGATGGCATAAACATGTCCGCCTCTTCTAAATCTGAGAGAGGGGCAGCTCAACGGACACATTCTCAAAGATCATCTAAAGTCTCATCGTACATGACTTGCGATTTTATAATAAGTTGTATTTACTTAAACATTATAAAATAAGAAAGTGAAAAGCGCACACATTGATTTATCCAATATAAACTTGTGTTTCAAAAAACATGCATAACTATGCAGAGTGGTGATATAGGAGTTTCTTTTCTGTGTTTGGGGTTTGACAAACAGGTGCCCATTTATATGGTTGAATGAGAAAAAAATCTATAGCAACTGATTAGATTTTGCGGAAGATCTATAGTGTTTAGTCATTACTTTCCAGAGAGTGGAAATAACTATCCCCTTAGTAAGAAGCTTTGTGTTCCATGATCAGGCTCTATATTGAGTAATGGAACAATGCGATCAGGTTTGGCAAGTAACTCCCATCTCTATCATGAATACTGAACCCAGTGCTCTTTCCTCATTTATTTCCCTCTCGTATTGAGTCATAACACCTGACTGTTAAACGTACCTTCAACATTTGTTTCTGTAGGCATAAAGTCTTTCACAGGGTGTGAAGGCCACATTCCTATGATGTAAAGGGAGAGGTTTTATACACATTACATCAATGTATGTCACTTGTCCTCCATCCCTAAGGGCAGTTCTGTCTGTGAAAGTACGTAGGGGTGGGTAGGTAGAACGTGGATATAGAAACAATCAACATACACGCATTTATTAAGTGAAGAATGATGCATCTGCTGGTTTTAGTCCTCACTAAAGAGGTCATAATCTCAGGTCATGGAAATTCAGGCTGAACTGTGCTGTAAACCTGATGTTCTGTTGTAGGAATGCAAGCTTATAATTATGTGCTACTTATGTTCTCAATGACATGTGTATACATATGTTTTCAATTATTGCAGATCTATGCCTCTGACAAATGCAGGCTGAATTGTTTTTCAATATCCAGCTGAAAATTATAGCTTGATGTAAATAGTTTTACCAGTGCATCTCACTCTTTTCATTGGTCACTTTCTTTCTTCTAGTTCGAGTTTGTGTATTTACATCAGGGATGGACACATTAATATAAAATTCCACAACCAGTTTGTTCATTCCAGGATCCAGCTCCATTGACAACTAGAGAATACCTCAAAGGTTAAATGCCAGCAGTGTTGGCTATTTCTGGCTCCTGGGATTTGTACCAGCCCTGACAGACCAGGAACTTTTGAGGTTTTCTTTAGTTGTGGTCATCGGAGTTGGCTCCTAGATTGAGCACACTGGCTCCTGGATAACTGTGTGAATGAATGCAACCCCTCTGCAGGGTCTGCGCTGTCTTCTCTGTCGGGGATTGGTTGATACCTGTACTCTATGCGAAGTCCATGTAATATAGGTGGAACTGTCATTTTTCTTTGGCAAATAACGCCATCTTGCAATCATGATACACATTTTGAAAAACGTTCCTGCAGATGCTCACAAAATCATTTTATAAAATTCATATCAACTCATGTATAAATATATGCACACAAAAGTCCTAATGAAAGCATGTACAAGGGGAAAGACGGCTTTCCAAAAGTTTCCATATCAAACTGATCATGAAATCTTTTCTTGACAGATGGAGTATCCTGTTGTAGACTTACTGTGCCCTGTTGTTATAATCTAACTAATATACCAAAGTTCTGCTCACATCTATTCACTAGCACCAAATGTCCCTCTAATCTTTATATGTTACACATCATACATTGTGGCTTAAGATTTTTTCATTTAATAGGAACAAGGAAGCAGAGTGAGGAAACTTATATCTAACCCTTTTTTTGTGTATCTTCCAGATTCAGCCATATGAGAAGATGAAAGCCAGAGGCCTCCCAGTGAACGTTTCTTCAGTCCTCAACAAACTCGTTGTCGTTAAACTTAATGGAGGTTTGGGGACCAGCATGGGCTGTAAAGGCCCAAAAAGCTTGATAGGGGTCCGCAATGAAAATACCTTCCTAGATCTCACAGTGAAACAAATAGAGGTGAGTGCTGTCCAGGAATGGTGTTAACCTGATACCGCACATTCCCTGTCATGACATTAAATGGGTGGTCTGTATTTCTTATCAAAGGGGCTTAGGTTGTGGCGACAATTTCTATCGGGTACTTTAATGCCATTGTTAAAGAAGAACTTGATCCAGCATTGAAAATCCATTGCAGGGCCACTCCTCATGCTTTAAAGTGAACTGACCATGAGGTCTTCTGTCTCCTCCTAGTCCACAAATTCTGGTTAGTCAGCCCTACTCTTGTTTGTAATGCGATTGCTGCAGATAACAAAGGAATCCTAACACTGCTAGTTGTTTCTTCCATTCATTCCAGTGGCGAAAATAGCTGGTTGGGAATAATTTAAAGTGGACCTGTCAGTAACTTTAAGTCTCCATGAATGAATTCCTGCCATGTCACAATAAACTTTACAATAAACAGCACAAACACAATACTAAAATAAACTACCTTTTTCATTAAATCCAGGCAGAGAGGGGGAATTTCATTAGCATGTTGCAGGCAGGAAGAATTTCCTCGGTCTTCCCTTCCCAATTGATCTCTCACTGGGACTGTAACCTCGTAAGCTTTTGGAAGCCAGGAGTCAGCAGTAGGGTAATGAGCTTTGTCTGGCACGTGTGAATATAGCCAGGAAGATAAAAGCTACTACAGAGCCAGGAGGGTTATATGACATTATAGACCTGCATCTTGGTCCAGGTGCTATCCGTGCCTGAACCAAGATGGAGATGGAGGCATTGTCAGGAAGGGTGGGGGTTGCTGTGATTTCTTTAGGAGCTAATAAATACCTGTATGTGTTACACTCGCCCATTATACAGCAGGTGTACACTTATGAAAAAAATCTGTGAGGGTAGGTTGACTTTAGAGCTGCAGCTAACGATACCTGCTCCTCCTTACTTCTTCTCCCCGCGTCCCTGTGCCGATCGTGGATTTGGGCAGGCGGTGAGTGTGAGGCACGGAGGAGGTGCGGAGCGTGGATGCGGACAGGTCTGGCAGCGGCGAGCGTGAGGTGGGGAGGAGGTGTGGAGCCGTGAACAGGGCCAACCAATCAGAAGCCGATTAATCGATTATTGAAAAAGTTGACAACTTTTTCAATAATCGATTATGTCGATTAGTTGTTGCAGCCCTAGTTGACTTTAATGCGATACATAATACAGAACATGGGTAGAATGGAGCAGAATGTCCCAAAAATGTTGAAACACAAGAATGAGAAAAAGCACCATACCCACCAAATCCCACATAACATGGATTTTGTTAGTGTTGGGTGGCACTCTTCTTTAAATGGCATACACTTCAATTAACAAAATATGGTACGACGTGTGTAAACCTGTTACAGCCACTGAGAATTGACTTTAATAAAGCTGGGAAACTTACTGGTTGCTGATCTTTTATGCCGAGTTCACATATAATTGTCCCTTTTTTTTTAGTTTTTTTTTTTTTTAAAGGAAAATGAAAGTAGTTTTTTTGTTGCACCGATTCTATTCTTTGTATTGAATGCGGGGGGAGTCCATTTTAGGACCTGAATTAGTAGTTGTAGGATTACAGCACATAAATGCATTAAGCATTGCTACATTTCCTGAGACCTCGTGCTTCGGAGATGCCTGTGTCTTGCCAGTGCTCCATATAAAATGTACAATGTTTGTGTAAGAATAAATATCTCTCTCTCTCTTCGCCTGAGGAAAATCTCCAAATACAACAGATGGTCATGGCCATGAAATAAAATGGCACCAACTGGGAGCCAAAAAAAAATTGGATTCTTTGGCAATAAATATTTCGATAAGACAGTGGGAGCCATTTAGCTTAAAATTAGACTTTTTTGTGTGAAAGCATATCCACTTTTAGAAGGGAATTACATACAATTCCCTGGACTGACCAGTCACAAATAGGCCAAGGAAATAATAATTAGCTCTCTGTGAATGTATTTATGATCGCTGGGTGCTTTAAGAGCCCCCAGTGTCTGGTATGTTACCTGTATTGAGTGGTTGTACAACAGATTCAGGTGGGACTTTCACCAATGGAGGCCAGACGGGTGTATGGACTGTCATGGTAACATTTTGGAACATTGCAAGTGTTTTATTGCATATAACAGGTGGCTATTTTATCAGTGAAGAGCCGTTCATGAAACATAAGGGCTTATTCAGTAAGGGTGTGCACAGAGCAATGAGGTTATTATTGGTCACGTGATCACCAACAACCAATCACATTTCAGATTATGGCATTTATATTAGGAGATGATGAATTGGTCGCTATTGATTACAGCACTCTCCACATCTCACAGGTTTCTTACTGGATAAAGCTCCCATGTCACTGTGCATTTGCTTCCACTTATCTCCGTTACAGTATGTATGAACCCAGTCACAAAAATCTCATATAAGCTTTAACATGTTATTGTAATTTTCAATATTTTGAAATCTGTAACTTTTCATAAAATAATATCTGGTGATCCTGCCACAAAGGATCCTTATGCAAGCACTTCCTGTTACAGGGTGACAACAAGCTTTCCCTGTCTATTGTTCCGCCTGTCTCCCTGGGAGTGAAGAATCAAGTAGCTGCGACAACACACATTGCACATGTATGTTCCACTGTTGTCACCATTAGGATACCCACCCTGAGAATAACGTGATAGTTGCTGGAGTACAGGTAGACGGGAAGTGGCTACAGGAGATCAGGAGGAACAAAACATGGAATAAAAACAAGCGTAAACCAGCATTAAATAAATAACATGGCAGTTGTTTGATAGACACCACTTTAGCAAGTGAAATGTTGTACAGTCAGGGTTTACGTCTACGTTAAGGTACACAGAACATAATTTATAGTGCAAGATGGGTGTTTAATATCATTGCCAAAAGAAAGTGAAATAGGGACACAGTCCTCTTCAATGAAGAGACAAAACCCCCCACTGCATCACAAGATAACCTTGCTCATTAGGGTTTTAACAATACAGACTAATGATTTTAGGGCAGTTTCTCACCAGTGCTGCGTGCATTGGAGGTGACAGGTTCTCTTTAAGGTGACATTAGTGGTCTTTTAGACCTCTAGTGTCACCTTTCTACTTCACTGGATTCACTGAATGTAAATACAGCAGGCAGTGGCTGGGAGCAATAGCCAGCCTGCTATTGGGTATTTTAAATTGAAATAGCCAATAGCAGGCTGGCTATTGTTACAAGTGTCAGTTCCTTTTCCACTTGATGAAACTGTTTGCTTTTGCTGGTATATCTCAGTGTAAGGTGTCCATGTTCCTTATGTGTTTAATAATGCTCTCACCAGACCCACACAGAAGTTTTCCCTCTCAATGAAAGATTTACAGCTCCCCCCCCCAGAGCACACTGTACGGGCATTCTCTTCTTACAATGAGAGTGAAAACTGCTGTGCAGCAAGGAGCACAGGCATCTCACATTGAGCTATATCACCAAAAGGAAACCGATTCATAAAGTTGAAAAGGATGGGACACGGAGGAGCAGCAGCAGCTAAGATAAAGGGGGGAGGGGGGCAGCGGGGGATCACAGCTGCAGTCTGAAAAAATTTAAATGGCCGGTATCTGATCTAGGCATCGGGGCATTTTCAGGAGTACAAGTACTCCTGAAAATGCCCTGTATCGGCCCCGATACCGGTACTAGCATCGGTATCGGGACATCCCTAGTTACAATGAAATGGTGTACAGTCATACACATTTCACAATACAAACCATTTTTGCAGAATCTCTGTGAGTCAACACTTGTATGTGTGAAATGTCTGTCATATCCTTTTATAAGCTTTGTAAAGCTCCTGAAATGTGTTCTATCACAAAGCTAAACACTTGTGTAATTTGGTTCTCATGAAACCAGCTTGGTGATGGATTCTCTTTAATTTTAGGGATAATGCATAATGCAGTGGATTGTTTTTATACATTCAGTTCAGTGGCTTACCTGTCATAACACGAATTTTGAAACCTTTTGTGTTGGGAGTTGTCTTCTGGTGGCCCTATTGGCAATCCGTGCAGTGAAGGTCACTGGTTGGAGTTGTTTTGGTCGCTTAGACTGCATTAATGTATGCTAGATGCCAGGTTTTCTTGCTCATGTTTTATAATTGTATATGCTATACATAGCTGCTTTAGAATGCCTGATACTTATTTCCTACTTTCTCATCTATACAAGCACTTGAACATAACCTACAACACAAACGTCCCTCTCGTTCTCATGAATTCATTCAACACAGATGAGGACACCAAGAAAATCCTTCAGAAGTACAGCCACTGTCGGGTGAAGATTTACACATTTAATCAGAGCAGGTACTGTGTGTGCCTGAGATTACGCCACGTTTGTGACAAATTGTTGGATTGTCTGTCCAAAGAATATATTCTGTTTTATAAAGAGATAAACCCTTTTGCCGTGTCTTTCCGAAGTTCCTGCACAATGCAAGGTTGATTTTACAGACTATTTACAAGCCATTGCAATAATCATAGATAACCTGGACAAGAGCCATCACTGGGCGTGATATGAAAAGTATATCTTGCAAGAGCTGAGAGCTTGTATTTAGTATCCAGCATTTAGGGAAATTATGTGCTTACAGTTAAAAAAGGAAACGACTTGAGGATGATATTAGATTCAGGCAGAGGCAGAATGGGCTTTAAGGCTGCCAGCAACTAATCGATATTGAGAATAGTTGTCAGCTATTCTCATTATCAGTTAGTTGGTTGGATCCCCTAGCTCTCTCCTTCACACTGGGAGGAGGCCACAGTAAGCAGTGGGCGGGTGCAATAGCCAGCCTGTTATTGTCAATTGCAATTTGAAATGGCCAATAGCAGACTGGCTATTGCACCAGCCCACTGCCTGCTGTACTTACATTCAGTTGCGGTCTGCAGACTCTTGCCACTGGCAGCTGTCATTCCCTGGCTGAAGCTATTCAAGCGCCATGTGCTTACAATACAATTATTAAAATAATCATTAGTTGCAGCCCTAGTGGGCTTTAAACAAGGTAGCAGATTTGCCCCACTCTAACCCAGTCCACTCCTTTGATTAACATAATACATGATTAGAAACAGGAAGCCACCCCATCTGAATACTAGCAGGGTCCACCCCATTAGACATCAACTGTCTACAAGTGCTTCCTCCCTGGTGAAGTGGCAGGCAGGTGCACACCTTCGACCAAATGTGCTATCCCTTGGTTTACTCCAGAAGCATTAAGGTTGTATTTGCCCCCTGGAATCCACTGGGCCCTAAGCTCCTGCCTTGGTGTCCTCGGGAAACAAGCCAGTATAAAAGGATTCCCAAATGGAATGACTGCTGTGTGACAGAAACATCTCACTGGTAAATCGTAGTATACATGGAAAATATGGACTGATCCTGGCTTCAGGAAAACACAGGTGCAAAGGTCTTGCTTTGGTTCCCATGAGATTATGGAAGCCTGCGAGTCATTAAGCTCCCAGCATCTACCCAAAGCAGAATCGTTCTGGTGGACTGATTTTTTTTAACCGAATGTTACTGCTGTAAATGGATCCTGAGCTGATTTGGCTTTGTAAATGGGTAGTTTTTTGTTCTAATTTAGGATACTGTATGAATGTTCTCAGCTGACTGGTTATTTTGCAGAACTGGTTATTTTCTATTTAATCCCTAACAATGTTTTTCTGTAAATTTACCTCCTCTCTGATTATTGCTAGCCGAGAAGAATATTTTCTAGTCCTGACTTCTTGAGCTTGCAGCATGTTTGTCATATCATGAAGGGAAGTAATATTGTGCTGTGACCTTGTGGACTATAGAAAAAGGAAATGAAGATCAGGCGCACAAAGCGTCTGTGTAGAGACACAGCATATCAAACAACAATCTTGTCTGTTCACATGATTCTTGTAACAATTCCTGAAATAACTGTAACCTCCCCCACATCGTGTGTGACCATGGTGAAGTAAGAGTAAATGTGATAGGCAGACTATTGATATGTACATGGCAGAAATATTCGTGTGCGTTAAATAACTGGCTTTTATATAACATACAAGTAGTTAATGAATTTGACAAGTACAAACATTACTACTTTTACCTCATTACCTTGCAATGGAGGGAAGCTAATTTGTTCAGTGTCTAACACCTTAAAATGATTGTGCCTTTGCTATCTATCCCCCTTCAGTCTTTTAATGAATGCTGCTGCCAGACTCATCCACCTTACCATCTGTTCAGTGCCTGCCACCCCTCTCTGCCAATCTTTCCACTGGCTCCCACAAAATACCGACCACAACATACAACGTCATCTACAACTCTGCCCCCAGCTACATCACCAACCTCATCTCAAAATATCACCCATACTAATCATATATATAGTTCTGCTATTAGCAAAGCTCACTCTCTCTCCTGTTTGGTGAGCTCTAACAGGGGAGCTTTGGACCCCTACAAGGATACCACTGCTTCCACACCAAGAGCAAGGGTTCTTCTCTCTTGCAAGCTGGCAGCGGCCAGGCTTTTTCTACTAGGAAGCAGGATGTGATCTAAGGGTATTATTTCTACCATCTTTATAAAGGTGTTACTTGACCTTGCCTCCTCGTACGTAAGTCCTTTTCACATCCCAGGGGATACCATCAATGTAGGAATGCATGCAGATCTTTGGGGCTCATTATAAAAATAGAATTAGGCCAACTTGCCCTAACCAATAAAGGGCAATATTGAAGTGCAATGCAAGATTCATTCAACACGGCTGCTCTTCCAATAAAGATTTGCTGGGGGTACCCATTGGAACTCATGAAAGCCTAAACACCTGCTAGAGTAATGGCATATAGGGCATCTTGCCCAAAAATCATGCATGTGGTTTTCTTTTTTTTAAATTCATAAATAGAATGGAAATCTCTATATAGATTAGTCTACCCCATCATTGTGCTTGGCCATATTCACATTTAGCTTGGCTATAAAATAATCAGTTATCTAACACAACCCCATATACTGTGTGTTCTTTCTCAGGTACCCAAGAATTAACAAGGAATCCTTATTACCGATCGCCAAGGACTTGTCTTACTCAGCGGAGAATGCAGAAGCCTGGTACCCCCCTGGTCACGGTGACATCTATGCTAGTTTTTATAACTCGGGCCTCTTGGACACACTGATAGACGAGGGGAAAGAATATATATTTGTCTCAAATATCGATAATCTGGGCGCCACGGTGGACCTTTATATTCTCAACCACCTCACGAATCCACCAAATGGAAAACGTTGTGAGTTTGTCATGGAGGTCACAGACAAGACCAGAGCTGATGTGAAGGTGAGCACACACAATGGGTTTTATCACAAAACTACAATATTATTCTAAGGATATTGTTGAACAAATGACCACAGACTGTTTTTCTTTTTAAATGTGACAGGAAAACCCAGAAAATAGATGTGTAACATTTCCTCATGTAAAAGTTTCCCTTCCACATCAGCACATTCAGTGGAAAGAAATTCTGCCATCCTCTGTTTGTCCATTTTTATTTTATCTGATTGATGTGCCTAATGCAATCTGTAATGCCTGCTTATTGTTTGATTTAGAGACCTGTGGTAGGGTTGTGTACCCAGAGATAGAGAGAAGAGGCACAGGAATACAGGGGACCTTTAAAGTGTGACATTTAGAAATGTTGTATGCCATTTGGTTTTTCTTTATACATTTTTTTTATGTGTGGATTTATGGTATTGAGACAAGTCTTGGGTATTTTAATAGTCCAGTGCATATCTCTAGTCTAAATAACTAGCAGCTTATAAAACTAGGAAAGATCTGCATACTCTTCCTGCAGTTTATTTATGTAAGCTACTGTATATGTTGTATTTTTTACAGCTTAAATCAGATGTAACTATTTTTTTTATTAAAAAGAATATCTAAGGCCCAAACAAAGATCTATAAATGGCAGCTTACCCTCCATTATGTTAAAGCGGACCTTTACACTCAGAAACGAAATTCTACCAATACATCCCTCTATGTATGATGATTAATCATAACATAGACATGTCGGGTGTAAAATGCTGTGCTTATGAAATACTTACACTTGCAGAGCATTCACTTCCTGCTTTGACAGTGCAAATCACTTCAGTTTGGCGCAATGCACACTGGGATTGTCTTGTCATCAGCAGAGCATTGCTGGGAAATCTCATCTGTAATCTCACGAGATCTCAGGGAAAGGCATTTTCCTCCCCTGAGATGATGTACATGGTCACATGTCCTAGTCACATGTGCCAGGATAAAGGAGATCTAGTAATCTGCCGTTAGTAAACATGGCCACTGTCGGAAGACTGGAAAAAAAAGAGAAATAAGGTATGCAAAGAATACAAAGCCGACAGTCATCCAGGAATATGTGTTTGTAGATTGTCATTTAGTGAACATTTCTAAAGGTGAGTTTGTTCTTATTTTAAAGATCTGGGTAAAGGTCCGCTTTAATAGGTTAATTCCCATGCCACTTTCAGTTTGCTTTCCTATTATTTTTCCTCGTAATCTTGCAAGTAAGAGCCATCCCGACAGGTTCAGTCTTGGGTGACAACGCTCACTAAGTGTATCTTTATACAGAAGAAGTGTGGTCACCCCCAAGTAGTGTCTACAGTCTAGATATATGTTGGCATGTTCAACCTGAGTTCCGTGAACTCCACTGCCCACACCATCATAATGCTTCTGCAACTGTGGAAGAGTGAGCGCAGAGCCAGAGAGCTGTGTACAGCTTTTTAATTAAAATAAATTGTTTTTAAAAAACCTGGTGAACCACATTCTCTTTATATCAAGTTGGTCAAAATGTAATTCTGTTTTTAAGGTGTAATTATAAGTTAAAAAACTTTTAAATTAATTTAGTACAATCAGCTGAAAGTGCCTCTTGTGAACTATCCTACCCACGGCGTTGGAACTTGAGTGAACATTGTAGACACTAGGAGCCAATCAAGCTGAATGTAGCAGCTGGATAGCAGAGTGAGCACAATTGATGGCTCATTATTGTGTCCAATCAGCAGGTGGGAGGTGTGGTTTTACTAGTGTTCATGACCAAGCTGTGCTTTTAACTAGCACAATATTTACAGACGTTGTGTAATTTTTATAGTTTTTTTGTAGGTTATAGTTTATTTATTTTTCTCAAACATGGTGGGAAAGCTTATTTGGTCTGGTTAGGTCTGCAGGTCGTATATCTGGGTTACACTACTCTTGGTCATACACTCAGCCAAGATCATCAGCCTTGTTATACTAATATTTGTGAATATGATACGCTTAGTATTGTTACATCTTTCAGTATTTACAGAACCGGAAGTCAAATGAAAACCAGCTCTTAGTATGCCATCTGTGCTGCTCAGTTACATCAAGAGGAATTTCCATGACATAACTCTCAGGGGATCCCAATCTCTGTCAGCTGTCAGTAAATGGGAGAACCTTCTATGACAGTCATAGCTTATCAACAATAATGCCAGGTGCCTGGAAACGGTGTGTAGAAATGTGATGAGATAAAATAGGAAGCTGTCTGGCTTGTAATATAAAATTCATGACAAAACATACAAGACAGTGAGACCCCATAATTCCCAACTGCGGGGTCCCTACAGGCAGCTATAAGAAGGCAGTGGTTCACCCGGTGAACCCAGAACCCAAAAACTGACTAAAGACATCTGGAAATTAAAATTGCTGACCTCTTCTTCTGAAAGTACTAGTTGTCTGGCTGTCATGCTGATCATCTAGGTTCAAAAGTCAATAATCCAGAACAAGCATGCATATGAGACATTTATTTCTGACGTTTCTGATTTGCACACTTGATTTAGGTCAGTGATTTAGATAGTATTGAAGTCAGTGCACCAGGTAGGAATTTAGATGGTCAGCAATGGTAAACCTTGTATTTCTCTGGCTTTCTTGAAATCTGTTAATTCCTGTGTTTTTATTCCAGAGGGAAATGGCTGTTGTATCTACACTCCACAGACTGTAAAATGTCAGGCAGCAGGAAGCATTGGGGTGTATCTAAGATACATTATTTTGACAGTTTGCAAAGGCCCTTTTTTCATGGCTGTATTGTTTTGTGTATTTCCCTTCATTTCCTTTCTTAGAAATCAGAGAAAATCTCCCAAAAATGAGGGCAATGCCCACCTTAGACAGTTCAATAGAACATTTGTCCCCGTTGGAAGGTTTCTCATGACACCTCTAAAATGTTAGGTTTTCCCTTACCTTCTAAGTGGTAATGGTGACCAGGACAAATAGACACCACTTGCCAAAAGTTTAATGGTGAGAGTATAAGGGACTTATACTGGATTAGAATACAGGACACAGGCTATAGGGAATTAGTGTTATTGTAATTTTGCTGTAAAGCACACAGCACTTTACATTTCAATAATAGAAGGCTGCAAATAACAGCCCTCAGCAAGTACAAGGCAAAGACAAATATATAAACATGATGGGAATAGATGACTGTCCTGTGCCAGCTGGCAGTGTAAGACGTCACAATGTGTACATGACATTTACTCAGCAGTGTACACGTTTATATCCACTACCACCTACTGGGAGGTTTATTTGCTTTTCACAGTAAATGGAGGATGTTCTAAACAATACTTTTAGGGTTTTGATCCTCCATACTTTGGACATTATTATTTTAGGCAGGTTGCTTTACTGAATGTATTTACCATTTGACATCATCAGTACGATAAAGGCCACAGAAGAGTTGTGAAAGTTTCCTTGTAGATGATGACATATTTCTAGTGTGCTGACTGAAGTGACAAGCTATTTTCATTGAACTGGAGAGTTGTGACGTAGACGGCTCTGGGGATATACAGCAGCAGCGGCGTTGTAGGGTCCCTTTGAAGTCAGGCAGCTACCAAAGTCCGGGCAGTAATCTATGAAGATTTACAGGGTGATGATCGCAGATCTAGGGCCACATTCTGGCTTTTTTTAACTTTACTGTCCTCCACATTAGACCACACTTTCAATCTTTAGCTAGGCTATGCCCACTTTAGAATCATAAAACACAGCAGTGATGTCCCACAGAGACACAGTGGTGGATTGATAGAGTACCTGGTGCTGGGGAGGGCAGGGGGCATTAGTGTAAACTTGTTACTTTTTTCCCTGCAGAAGATTAGAACAGGTTTCATTTGAGAGCTCAGATTCAGATTTTTACAAATCTCCATTCCTGACAGGTTCCCTTCAACCATTGTACAGTCCAGCCATTACGAACAATGTAAGAATACATCTCTGCCTTTTTTCCTGCCTGTTGCTAGAATCTGTCACATTGCAAAGATTACAGTGTATGACCAGCATAACAAAGCGAGCTCAGTTAATATATTGAAATGCGAGCAGAATTGTGATGAGAAAGTCATATTAGCATTTCACTGGGAAATGTTAATTTTGAAGATATCTGTCACATCTGCCAGAGTAAAACAATAGTCCTCCCGAGAGCACGATTTCCCAGAATTCTCCCATGTCTAGTTATCTGCTGCATTCACTTGTCTGATGCCTTACAGATGATGTGCTGGTGGTCAAACATTATTGTTAGAGTATGTGTACTGCCAAATCTCCATATTCCAGGAGCCTGATGTGTTTAAAAATGTTAAAAGAAAATGATAGTCTTTTTTTTTTCTCTCATATAAATGTGTGTGTTTTATATATATATCTATATATATATATCTATATCCTAGCTCGCCTCATGTCGGCATACATATAGATCAGCTCTGGCCCCACAGGACAACTTCTAACAATCTAATAAAAAGCATATCCCCTCCCCCAGTACCTGTTCTCTTTTTGTCCTCGCTCCAAGCCATGCAAAGTTGATGGATCCTCCCTACTATCTCCCAGCTGGGTTCAACCTCCCCCGAGTCGGATGACCCCTCTGCTGGTAGTAAAGCTCCTTCAGAGTGGGTGCCCTTGGTGCGGGGGTATATATATAGTACAGGTTGAATATCTGGTCAGAACTGGGCGAAGGAGCTGGGGCTAATATTTTCTTTTTCCTTCCCAGGATTCAGTATATGTATTTGAATTAAGGTTTAAAAAGTTTTTTTGTGTAGCATTTGTAGGTATTAAATTATAATGAATGGGTAGGCCATATTTCCTCACTACATCTGCAGGCTGTGCTTCCTACTCTGAAACATTGAAAACATTGAAAGATTGAAAACAGCAAAGTGTATACATGCTCATTTCACCAAGACGAATAAGATTTTCTAAGTCTGTTATTTAATCCCTTTGTTTTTTTTAGTTCCTAAAAATGATCACTCTAAAGCTGGGTATTCAGTTATATTTTGGTCATTCCACCTGCTGACTGAATGAAAAAAATATAACAGATCACTCCACAGATCACAGACGCTGGGCTGCCGCTGTCTGAATACCCCAACAGGGACAGTAGCTGATTTGCTGCCGTCACTGTTTGCGTAAAGATTTTCCAACTGGCACCTTCGATGTTCTGATCAAAGAATGTTTGCCTAAAGGGTGCAACAGAAACATCCACCAGCTGAGATTTGTACAGTGTATAGCTGCCTTAAGGAATGATCAGCCCACAAACCATTCAGTCCACAAGCATAACACCTAGAAGCCTTATTTACTAGATCTTGACCTGCGTTCCTCAGCACACACCTCTGTGAAACTCTCTGCATAGAGATTATTCGTGTTAAACCATTAAAACAGAGCCTGTTAGAATTGCTGCCACTTTAAGACGCAAGCTCTTAAAGTGGCAGCAATTTCCCAATTTCTATTGGGGGCAGGCAGGATTGGAGTCCTCTCCAGATCTTCGCTTCTCTGTTGAAGAGTGACACCTTCCCTGCTGTGACAGTCACGAGTCATGACTGAATAAAGGAGCCAGTCAGTGTTATTTCCTTGTATAACTATAGATAATACAATGGAGGTGCAGGCAATGGATGGCAGGTCACCTTTGCAGGCACGTGGGTGCTCATTGTGGGGCTCCTTTCCAGCCATGTAATATCTCGGAGTTCTATTAGCTACCTACAAGAAAGTATGTGGTGCGCACACATGTACATTTGCCTTTTAAAGGAGAACTATGGGGTTCAGGCTTTTCCCCATAGTTCTCCTTAGGGTAACGGGGGGACACAAACTAGCGTCCTCCTGTCACCCTAGGCTAAGTATACCGCGAGCTGCAGCTCGCGGTATACTGAGACGCCGCAGCTGAAGCGGATCCCGACAATTGTGCCGGGATCCGCCCAGCTACGTGACTGACAGCTGGCTCTGCCTATCTAGAGGCAGAGCCAGCTGTACCCGCCCCCTCTCCCGTCCGTTCCGCCAGTCAGCGCTGGCGGATCAGAGCGGGGTGGGGGGGATCCAGCCCCTCCCCTGTCACGGCAGAGAGCCGTGGCAGGATCGAGAGGTGAGCGAACGCCGGTATGTGTTCGCTCACCTCCCGAGCTACTGAGCTGACCTGTGACAGTCTCATTGTCACAGGTCGGCTAGAACTATGAGGTGAGTGAAAATCACTCACCTCATAGTTCTCCTTTTTAAGGGGAGTACCAAAAGTTCAGCATTTACTGAATATTAATAGAACTCTGGGTAACCAATTCCTGACTGCATAATAAATGTTTTCTATTTTGATCATCTTTAGTTTGTTTATGAAAGGCAGTGTGGACAATTTGTAAAGCAAGCAGAAATATTCTTTAATAACAAAAAAATTGAATCTGATGCCCACAGCAACCAGATTCTGATCTTACATTTTGAAGCCGATGTTGGATGACGGCTAGAATGTGATTGGGTACCACCTCCCCTCTTCCTCTCTGGAAGATTTGTATGTCTAACAGACCAGGGCCTTGGTATGGGTACCACCTCCCTCTGGCTATTGCACCAGCCCACTACCTGCTCTAATTACATTCAACTGCTGCCTGCGGAATCTTGCCACTGGCAGTGGTCATTCCCTGGCTGAAGCTATTCAAGCGCCATGTGCTTACATTACAATTATTAAAAAAAACAATTTCAAAGGTGGGAAAAAAAGTAATTTTCGTTTTTGGCCTGACGAATTCTGCTTCGGGAAGTGCGTTGCAACCCAAATGCGCGTCCCACCCAGTGTGATTGCCCGCACTGGAATGCACGGTACCGCAGTGCGATTGCAAAAAATTGTCTATGCAGTTTTATTCTGAAGTAACCTTTGTAACACTGCATTTCTGTATTTTATTTTCATTTAAGGATGGTATTTTTTTATTCGATTAATTGAAAAAATAATCGGTTATGAAAATAATCATTAGTTGCAGCCCTAATGCACAGCAGGAGGCAATCTGCTACAGCAGACATGCAGTGCGAGATGACATGCTACGTATAAGGGAGCAATATATTTCAGCAGTGAGTGCCAGCAAGGGGCAATATATGGCCGTTATATCTCATATTTGAGCTAATCAACACGGGTTGTCAAATGGACACTGCACTTTTGACTCATGATTTAAAGCTCAAGTGAAAGTTCTCACGTAAATGCCACAACTTGCTGTATATACACAATAGTTCTGCTCAAGATCGACAGACCAGTACTTATCTGTCACCACAGTACGTCTCTATATTTGTTTCCATGCGCTCCTGCACATTCAGCAAAGATAGCTGTCGGCTCCATCCAGGGTGCCTGTTAAATCCATCGCATTGGATAAGTACAAACGGAGATCCATGACATCATAGCAGGGAGAGATCCTAACCACACTTACATCCTAACGGACTTCCTCAGAGGGGCGTTTATAATGAGGTTTTTAAGTTATAGACCAAGACATTGGTGTGGGTACCACTTTCCCTCTATATAGAATTTTGTATATGCAATAGACCAGGACATTGGTGTTTTTACTTGTCGATTTTATGGTTTATAATGTGTTTCTCTTGGCCAATCACAGGGTGGTACGCTCACTCAGTATGAAGGGAAGCTGCGGTTGGTGGAAATTGCACAAGTGCCCAAACCCCATGTTGACGAGTTTAAATCCGTGTCTAAGTTCAAGATCTTCAACACAAATAATTTGTGGATCTCCTTGCCGGCTATCAAGCGGTTACAAGAAGCCAACTCCATTGATATGGAAATCATAGTTAATCCAAAGGTAAACTCCACAAGATTACTTTCTGTGCAAACAGCAGGAAATGATCAGTAAAATCACATCTTACTCTCTAACATGCAACATGGACAGGGAATAATATTAACAGTATTCAATCCTTACCTTGTATCATTGTCTCCACAGACCTTGGATGGCGGTTTAAATGTTATCCAGCTGGAGACCGCTGTGGGTGCTGCTGTCAAAAGTTTTGAAAATTCACTGGGCATCAATGTCCCTCGAAGCCGCTTCCTTCCAGTGAAAACCACATCTGATCTGCTGCTTGTCATGTCCAACCTGTACAGCCTGAATGCCGGATCACTGACCATGAGTGAGAAGAGGGAGTTTCCTACAGTGCCCCTGGTCAAACTGGGCAGCTCATTCACCAAGGTGAGGACAAGAGAGAGGCTTGAACACGGCAGCATGCCTTTTAAGGTCATCATTCTCGTTATTTTTTTTATAGCATAGTGGGTGCATACATACACTGAGGAAAATAATTATTTGATCCCCTGCAGATTTTGTAGGTTTGCCCACTTACAAAGAAATGAAAGGTCTACAGTTTTTATCACAGGCGTATTTTAAATAATAGAGACAGAATATGAACCAAAAATCCAGAAAAAAACACATGATACAAATGTTATAAATTGAGTTGCAGTTCAGTGAGTAAAATAAGTATTTGATTCCCTACCAACCAATAATAATTCTGGCTCCCACAGACTGGCTATGTGGTACACAGATTAGTTCTGTCAACTTAAGAAGGTGCTTCTAACGACAGCTCGTTATGTATATAAAAGACACCTGTCCACAGAATCTCTTCCTTCCATTCAAACCTCACCACCATGGACAAGACCAAAAAGCTGTCAAAGGACGTTGGGGACAAGATTGTAGACCTGCACAAGGCTGGAATGGGCTACAAGACTATCGGCAAGAAGCTTGGTGAGAAGGAAACAACTGTTGGAGCGATTATTCACAAATGGAAGGCATACAAAATAACCATCAATCGCCCTCGGTCTGGAGCTGCATGCAAGATTTCACCTCATGGGGTAAGGATGATCATGAGAAAAGTGAGCGATCAACCCAGAACTACACAGGAGGAGCTTGTGAGGGATCAGCCCAGAACTACACAGGAGGAGCATGTGAGGGATCAGCCCAGAACTACACGGCAGGAGCTTGTGAATGATATCAAGGCAGTTGGGACCACAGTCACCAAACAAACCATTGGTAAGACAATACACAGCCAAGAATTGAGATCCTGTGGCGCCCACAAGGTCCCCCTCCTCAAGAAGGCACATGTACAGGCCCATCTGAAGTTTGCCAATGAACATGTGAATGATTCAGAGCAGGATTGGGAGAAAGTGCTGCAGTCAGATGAGACCAAAATTGAGCTCTTTGGTATTAACTCGACTCGCCATGTTTGGAGGAAGAAAAATGCTGACTATGACCCTACGAACACCATCCCTCCAGTCAAGCACTGAGATGGAAACATTATGCTTTGGGGTTGTTTCCCTGCTAAAGGTACAGGCCGACATTGCCGCATTGAGGGGCCAATGGGCGGGGCCATGTATTGTAAAATCTTGGATGAGAACCTCCTTCCCTCAATCAGAACACTGAAGGCAACAAAGCAGTTGCTGAAGAAGAAGCACAATAAGGTCATGGAGTGGCCTAGCCAGTCTCCAGACCTTAACCCTATATAAAATGTATGGAGGGAGCTGAAACTTCAAGTTGCCAAGCAACAGCCAAGAAACCTTAAGGAGTTAGAGAAGATCTGTAAAGAAGAGTGGACCAAAATCCCTCCTGAGATGTGTGCAATCCTGGTAACCAACTACGAGAAACGTCTTACCTCTGTGCTTGCCCACAAGGGTTTCCTGACCAAGTACTAAGTCATGTTTTGCTTGGGGGTCAAATACTTATTTTACTCACTGAACTGCAACTCAATTTATAACATTTGTATCATGTGTTTTTTCTGGTTGATATTCTGTCTCGATCATTTAAAATACACCTATGGTAATAATTATAGACCTTTCATTTCTTTGTAAGTGGGCAAACTTACAAAATCTGCAGGGATCAATTGATTATTTTCCTGTGTGGATGTCTTATTCCCTTTAAACGGCAATCCATAAATGCAAAAATGGGAATCGTACCGCCTAAGCATTACTATCCCTCAGCTTGCCGTATCTACATAGGCCTGAACCAGGAAAAAACTCAGATAAGGTAATAGGAGTTTCACATTTTTGTTAGCTTTACTGTAAATTGGGGCACTAAAGGGTAACCCATCATTTTGAGGGTGTCAGGATCTTAGCTGCATGTTAGCTGTGCTGCTGCTTATATATTAGTATATAAATGTACCTGCAGTGCATGTAAAGTAACATCACTGACTTTTGAGTGGAACAGCAGACACTTCCAGTTGCTTGTTTGCTTATCTTTGTTCCAGTCCCCACATCCTGCACCTCACTGTTGGACCACCCCTATTCTAGTCAGCCGTACTAACCAACAGTAAGGAGAGGGCAGATACAATGTGCATTATAAATTGCCTTGGGTTTCTTCAGGGACAACATCACTGAGCCACTATGTAGCTGCCTCTAAGCTTAGTCACATTCCAGGCAACTATAGACCTCATTTTTATTGGGCTAGGGATATATTACATATGGCTCTGCTTTACACGTTTGATGATAAATGCCCTACTGGGCTGAACTGGCTGTTATTTTATACAGCCTGTGTTGCTGCTGCTGCTATTATTACACTGATACTGCTGTTGTATTTGTTTCTTGACATTTGCACAGCATGACTTCATTTCCTATGTTCCCACTAGGTGCAAGACTACTTGAAGAGGTTTGAAAGCATACCAGACATGCTCGAGCTGGATCATCTCACCGTGTCAGGAGATGTGACCTTTGGGAAGAATGTTGCACTGAAGGTGTGTACAGTGTGCTGAGTCAGCCATCTATATTATACTGTACTGAGCTAGCCTTGTCAGTGCACTCCCTGCCCATCACTATTTCAGGTACAATTGTTCCATCACCGTACAGCGCATATTTCAGGCATCAGCACAGTCCCCTCTGAATACTAGCAGCACAAAAAGAATCTGAAGAGCAAACAAGAAATGATTGTTTAAGGATAAGAATTGTGCTAATAAGGTCACGCCCTGCTGCTTCGTGTCCATAAAGTCATGTTATACTCAGATTATCTCATCCCAGCAAACATTTTATTTAGGGCAATGTGGAGAATAAATTTACACTATATTCTGTATAAGGTGGAAATAAAATAGTGCTACTCTGTGCCCGGAGAAGCCCTGACAATTCCATCTTGAACGAAGCTGGAGCCAAAGCACAACTCTATTGTGTGGTACAGTGCAGGCTCCGCTCCCCTCATTGGTGCCTGAATTGTATTGTGGGAACCTGGGAAGGTAGGTGTTGTGGGGTGTGTGTGTGTGTGTGTGTGTGTGTGGGGGGGGGGCGGCGGTTGATGGAACACCAGCTTTTTGAAAACGTATTTGCAACTAATTTTACAGCTGCTCTATTATATGGTCATGAAGGTGCATACACGGTGGTGCCAGCTTTTATGTATTTTACTTTGGATTTTAATTTTTTAGCTTGTCAATTTTGATGCATTTATAGTGATCATAAATACAATTCTTCCCAATTATATTCCCTTTAAGGGGACGAGTGAGGGGTCTTGACCTCTAATTCACATCCTACTGCTCCAATTTAATTCCATTTTGCTAACTGCACGCGTTCAGTTCTTTCATGATAGTACTTTATTATATACAGTATATTATTTTTTTATTGCACATGCCTTTTTCATGTATGTTTTTTTTTCCCATGCCTACATGCAAACCAAGCCGGGATTGGGACAAAATATAGCAAAAACAGGGTGCTTACAATGGTTCCCTTTCATTAACACCTTTAAAAACAATGTTGCTGCAACTACCCGTGACACTGTTAGTTTGTTTCAGCCACTTAATATATAAATGACGGGTGTGAAATAAAAAAGGAATGAATATTCTAGAATTACCAATAGTGACCACATGCAGGTATCAGGATGCAGTGTTTTTTGTGATGGTTCTTCTTACCCATTGTAACCCATAGCAAACAATAAGAATCCATCTTGTACTGGATGGACTTAACAAAGTGATAGTGTATCTAGGATTACTTAAAGAACAAAGATGTTGTGTAAAGTGCAGTAACTTATATCAACCATTCACATATGACTTGTTATGTCCAGTCAGTGAAAAAAGATTTTAGTTGTTCGGTTTTAAGCATTTTGCTGTTTGCTTTACTGAATGTGATTAAATGAGTGGATGGAAGGGATGGTAAGCAGTGATGCTGCCATTACTACAGGTGAAGATTAGTATTGAGCCCATTGGTACCGGAAATACAGAGACTCTATCAGAGATGAGGACTGGGCCATGTTGCTATTAAAAGAGGATTATACATTGGATCAGAATCTTGTTTTATAGTCAATATGACACATTTGTGTATAAATCTATGCCGTGATCTATACATGCCTCTGAACGCTGGCGCGGATATAAGTGAATACCATCGATCCTGCCTATTATTTTTATTCTATAAAATGAAACTTCTTATACAGCAATTATTCAGATTCATTCAGCCAGAAAGTGACCATCGCTGCCTTGCATTTAGAGTACCTTCAAGGGAAAAGTCATGCTGTGTGTATGGTACAAAGCTCTCACCACCCACACAGCCATCTTACCTTCTAATTGGCTCAGGGTGGGTTGGTGAGAGCCTTTCATGTTAAAATAGATGTCATATTTAATTCTAGTTGACAAGAGTGACATCTAAAACCTACACATTGGTTCGCCCACCACTGTCATTTTTGGGCTGTGTTCTTAAAGCTGAACTCCAGGTGCAGGAAATGGCTTTATGCTGAATATGAGCATATTGTTTCATAATTAATGCATCAGTTATGGTTAAATAAAAAAACAGCAGCAGTGGGCGAATATATACAAACTGCAGCTGTTATCTCTCTGTTGTTAGACTCAATTGTAGAACTGAGGACTGGGAGTAGTTCGGGGACCAAGCTTGCAGTGTACAAGGGCAATGCACATGAAAAGTAGTCACCCAGCTGGAGCTTCTGCAGAAAAAGCAACGTTAGTCTTCTTTAAGGTATTGTCATTTATCAGTACATAAGCTGCTTATAATGAAGACACTATCCTCATCCTACAACACGCAGTATGTTTTCACTGAGCCTGGAGTTCAGCTTTAACACTTTACAGCAATGCACAAAGTGCATTTATATGGAGAAAGAAATTGTCTCTTTAAACTGCAAGTTGTCACTTGTGATTGACTTTCCAGCCAAGAGAACCCAATGAAGAGAGCAGTGCTTCTGCTGAGCACATTATCCACAGGGGACGACTTAAATCTGCTTCAAGGAACAGCTTAGCACAATGCAAAAGGGACACACAAATCATTGTGCCAATAAATAGAAAGCTGTACAAAATTTCACGGTGTTTACCATTACTGCGATTTCTCCTCCTAATCAAACTAACCAAAGTTATCCGAACCATAATCTAGACCTGAAGGCCATGGTTTGGATATTATGTAACTAGGCAAATGAAGCAAATTGTACGATGCTGTGGCTAACACCTAGGTGGGGCTGAATGAAAGCACTGACAGACCAATCCGCATGGTGCTATGAATGCAAGGCTTTGTTCTTCAGATGAGGTAGATGGTCAGTATTAAGGTGTTGACATGATAGATTTCTCTAACCCTGCTTCTGGCCTGACTGAATCGCCCACTATGTCCTTTTCATTTATTGATATTAGGGATGCACCGATAGCGCTTTTTTGCCATCGAGTACCGATATGTTTTATTCTGTACTCGCTGATATCGGAAGTCCCATTAAGGAAGCCAGGCAGCGTGTAATGACTCGCCGGCCTGGCTTCCTGATTAGCAGGGAAGCCGTCTCCATGCTCACTTGTTACCAAGTGATGAGGAAGCATGGAGCCGGCTTTCTGGCCAATCAGAAGGCCGTGCGTCTCCATGCTCCCTCGTCACCAAATGACGAGGGAGCATGGAGCCGGCTTCCCGGGCCAATCAGGAAGCTGATCAGCATGTAATGACTTGCTGCCCGTCTTCCTAATAACAGAAGCTCAGGTATCAGGCTAGGCACAAGTACTTGCCACAGATACCGATACTAGTATCAGTGCATCCCTAATTGAGATATTTCTTTTGTAAATCTTTAGAAGAATTGTGTTTTCATATGCACTGCCACTGAGGGAACTCCCCCTAAACTAGAGTGAAATGAGGGTGTACTGGGTGGAAAGTGATACTGCTCCTTGAGTCACAGCACTGAGAGATTGGCATGCAGGTCCTGTAGGAAACCTTGTTAAAACCAACATATAGCTTTCCAGGTAGCTCAGTAGTGACAGTGTTTGGTGGAATTACCTTTTCGTTCTCGTCCATTGAGAGACGCAGGAATTCTTAGACTGTTGGGTTATATTCCTACCTACAGGAAAAATGGCCACTAGCACCAATAAAAATGTTGCCCAGCACAGGATAGCCCCATCCACAACCAGCATGCTTCCGTTTATTGCTTCTGTCCTCAGGAGAATGGATGTGTTTTCTTGTTCATTTCCCGAGATATTTCTCCCATCAACAGCTGCTGGGAGATTCATGCCAGATGCTGAAATCCCTGAAAGTTTCTCCAGTCAGCCGACTAGTGCAGTTTTCCAGTTTTATAATGGTGTTCTGTCTGTCACAGCCCTGAATTTGTGGAATTTTCTCCAGTCATCTACACTACTGGTCGATTCAGGCCAGGTATGGGAAGCTCTCCCGTTAGCCAAGCAGCGCAGTTTCCTGGTTGCTTATCTATACCGGTGTTCTCTTTACGACAATCCTACATTTGGCAGTGACTGTGCGTCTGTTTTCTATTTAACACATTCCAATGAACATCGCTATTCAGGTCAGGCCAATATGTCTGAAGATTCCAGATGGAGTGATTGTTTTTAGAGCTGAGACAGTTTTCCTGTAACTCACTGTTGTGAGTTTCTAGTAGGGTCAGGCTACATTGAGGTTCCTCTTTTTAAGTACTGAGGCTACGTATGTGATATATGCTATAGTAGCAGCTGTATGTAACTGTTTGTGCAGGGAGTGAAGTCTTCTTTTATTCTATACTTGCTTTATGTACACAGGAAATGTTACTATTTACTTTCTTCACTAGCTGCATTGATGACACCGCTCTAGAAATGACACATAGGAGTGTACACACACAATCAAGGATGAGAGCTGTAAATCCTTATCTAAGACCTTTTTACAGAGTGTTCCCTAATAGCTCCCCCATTCGTGACTTTATGGGAACTACATCTGGTTCTCTCCGAAACTGCTGTTTGATTCCATTAGAGACATTTCCTTATCACCTGTAAGGTGGTTTTTCTGGTAGTCATCACCTCTGCTAGGCAAGTGTCTAAATTGGTGGCTTATCCTTCAAAGACCATTTTTGGTTTTGCATAGGGATGAGGTGTTAAAGCCCAGGACCTTCTTCTTGTCTAAAGCAAGTTCTGCCTTTCACCTAAACCAGGGCATTTTGCACCGGTTCCTATCCGACTCTAGTTCACCAAAAGCAAAAATAATCCCTCCATTGTCCAGATGTGTTTAGGGCTGTGAGAGAGTATATCTCAGCCATTGCTTCTTTCAGAAAGACTGATTCCCTTTTGTAATCTTGGAAGGCACGCTGTAAGGGTGTACTGGCTTCTCATTCCGCCATCTTTAGGTGGCATAGGCAGACCATCATCCATTCTTAAAGCAGACCGTTACACTCAAAAATCTAATTCTCCTAATGCATCCCTCTATGTCTGATGATTCATAATTAGGGATGCACCGATACCGGTATTTTGGTACCGAGTACCGATAATTGTTTTCGGTACTCGCTGATAATTACCGAGTAACGGAAGTCCCATTCAGGAAGCCAGGTGGCGTGTAATGACTCGCCACCCGGCTTCCCGATTAACAATCAAGTCTGTCCCCTCTTACCTTATCCAGCCTGTCACCCCCCGGGGCCTCTCCAGCCAGAACGTGGCCTTCCTCCGGTACGCAGCCGGAGCCGTCTGGCCGGCCAATCAGGAAGCCGGGCACCGTGTAATGACGTGACGCCCTGCTCTCTGATTGGCCGGGAGGCCGGCTCCATGCTCCCTCAACATGTGATGACGAGGGAGCATGAAGCCAGCTTCCCGGCCAATCAGAATGCCGGCAGTTGCGTCATTACATGGCCCCCGGCTTCCTGATTGGCCAGCTTCCAGACCAATTAGGAAGCCGGGCAGTGCGTCATGACACGCTGCCCGGCTTCCTGGTTGGCCGGGAAGTCGGCTCTATGCTCTCTCATCACAAGTGACGAGAGAGCATGGAGCCGATTCCCGGCTAATCAGGAAACTGGGCAGCGTGTCACGACGCACTGCCCGACTTCCTGATACCTGAAGTAAACGTGCTAGGCATCGGAGCATTTGGGCGACTACGAGTGCTCGCCCGAATACTCGGTATCGGAAACCGATATCGATACTAGTATCAGTGCATCCCTATTAATAATAACAGAGACATGTCAGGTGTAAAATGCTGTGATTTATGAAATACTTTCAAACCAGGAAGTGAATGTTCTGCAAGTGTAAGGGCAAAATGAGTTCCGTTTACCAAAGCAATGCACACTGGGATTGCCTCGTCATCCGCAGAGCATTGCTGGGAAATCTCATCTGTAATCTCACGAGATTTCAGGGAAAGGCATTTTCCTCCCCTGAGATGGTGTATGGTCACATGTCCTAGTCACATGTGCCAGTAATCCAGGAAGTAATAGGTGAGCTAGTAATCTGCCCTTAGTAAACATGGCCACTGTCAGAAGACTGGGAATGAAAAGATAAATAAGATATACAAAGAATACAAAGCCGGCAATTATCTAGAAGGATGTGTGTGCAGATTGTCATTACGAAACATTTCTAAAGATGTGTTTGTTGTTCTTTTAAAGATCTGGGTCCAGGTCCTCTTTGATGATCAGATTTAACCCTTTCTGGTCAAGGTGCACTCTGCTAGGTCCCGTAAGCATTAAAACCTGAGAGTCTAAATATTCCTGTGTCCCTCAATGGACTGCAGGAAAAAGATCCTTTTAGGATAGTTTATAAACTTGTCAGCTCTTGTACAATTTCCATAATGTATATAGAATATAAAGGTTACAGTTCTATTTTTATATCCTCTGATCTGTCAAAGTACAAAATGAACACACACTAATGATCCAGTAAATGCTTCCATACACATTGTCGTTAGGGTTGTATGTACAGGCATTATCAGACATAAAAGCTTCTTATAAATGTACACATTTGGATTGGCTGAGTGCGAATGTTTGTGTCTGGGGGGCAGAAGGATGGGGTATCCTTCTGCCCCCCAGACACAAACATTCGCACTCAGCCAATTGTTGGCTTATCTTAGGAAGAAATAGTGTTCGGCCAGAGGATGTCTGATGAGGTCTCAGACCGCCCACTTACATGTGATCCTTTCCCAATCCAACGATAACCCAAATTGTTAAGTCTATGGCATCCTTAATTGGACTGAAATTGACAACAGTTGTGTGGTAATCCGGCTATTTGGGGTGGTTTCATATATGCTCCTTCTTTGTCTCCTCTTTAGGGCACAGTAATTATCATCGCTAATCATGGTGACAGAATTGACATCCCACCTGGTGCTGTGTTGGAAAACAAGATTGTGTCTGGAAACCTTCGGATCCTGGACCACTGAAGCCACCTCTGCGTAAACCGATTTTTATGAATGATGTACAGTACACAATATTAAAAGCTCTGAATGGAGGTGGCTGGTACCCAGCTGATCCGACCCTAGTGGTCCTAATCCCCACATTATTGTCAGTATTGTACAATGTCTGTGTGTTATATAGTCTTTATTTAAACAAAGAAGAATTCCCTGTTATATTTGGAAGCAATAAATACAGTATTTAGTAGTCTAGAAAAGGAGAACCCTGTTAATGTAGAAAACCCTTTAAAGTGCAATACCGTCCTTATGTGTGACAAAATAAAAGGACAAACGAAAGCTTTTGTGTGACATTCATTATGGCATTTTGTATTTCTTTTTCATCCTTTGTTAATGATCTCCTTATCACAGCAACAGTAGGAACAAGCTCAAGAGTGGGACAAAGAACGTACATAAAAAACTATTTGGCTTACATATACATTATCATTATTATTTGAAATATCACAATGGACAGATATCAACATTTCTTAGCAGTCTGAGAAGTAGTGATTGCAGAAAAAAATGGAACACAGTGTTGAAATAGGGGTTTTGGGGTTGAGAACAGCAGGTACAAAGGGGAAATCCCTGGACATATACAGTAAGTGCCAGTCTAGTAAGAACCAAGTACCAGCATGATAGCACTTTAAAATTAGCTGCCATCAAGGAGATGTTGACTATACCCCAATGAGCCTGAGTGCTTCGGCTGTGTGCCAAGATTCCAGGGTGACATTAACCCCAATATCATTTGCCCAAACAGATGTACAATAATTTGGGGGCAATAAAATGGAGTAGATCATTGAAATTCATCCCCTTGGGCACTTAGCCTATGTACACCAGCGGCTATACCAGGCAGGAAGAGGGATCTGTGTAGAATGGTTGCAGGAATCTTAGAGAATGGTGTATCTGCTCCAAACAAAACCAGTTATAGACGGTGGCAACTGCAAGCTCGACTTGGAATAAGGTAATGTCAAAGGTTTCTGACCTCTTATTAATCTGTTGAATATGATACAGCCCCTTGTTTATCAGTTGAAAGCTTTTGAGCTTTTGGTTGAGTACCCAAAGGAAGAGCAGGATTTCTGAAAAGAGGAGCAAGGGGGGGTAATAGGAGAGGAAAGCCAATGTAGTTTACACAGCTTGCTCCCCAAAGCCAGGGCGTAGGAAAGTGTTGCATAAGCAGGGATGCCAAGTATCTGAGCAAAAAACCAAAGCACAGTGGCCTCCCATGGCAATGACACCCCATTTGTATTGGCATATCCTGCTCCCAAGGACCACAACTCAAGGGCCAACATCAATCTTGCATACGGCTCCTTTACAGCCTTTTTTTTTTCTTTTTCTGCCCTACCTATGATAAGTAGCAGCACGATAGTGTTTCAGATTTGCAATGTAAAACTCCACTGCAAGCACATGATATGAAAATGTCATCCTGGGAGAGGATGCTACAGATGAATAGGGACGTAGAACCCATAGCTCATCTCACAATGACAGGAAGAGGGAAGCATTCTAATAAATTGGGTATGTCTGCAGCAAACAAGCCAGCAGTATAAGGCCCGGTTCACACCTGGGCGTTTTGTAGCGCGTTCGAACGCTCTACAAAACGCTCAAACACCGAAATCCCATTATTTCCTATGGGTATGGTTCACACCTGGGCGTATTACAGGCCATATGAACGCGCTACAAAACGACCAACGCCCAAAGAAGTACAGGAGCTTCTTTGGGGCGTTTTTGTTGCGCGTTTCCATTGGGATACAGCCAAGTAGCCCTCGGAAACGCACGTTTGGCGCGTGTTTTTTTTTAACCGCGAATCACTGTAAAAAACGCGCATCATGAAACGCGCATACTCGATATGCCTAGGTGTGAACTCAGCCTAATGGCCTCTTAGGTCCTTCATTATGTACCAACAACTTTGTAGTGCAAGGGCCAGTCTAAACAGTCCATGTGATTTATACCCAATCGACGTGCGTTCTTTTAATGTTCAATAGAAAGGAGATTAACGCATATGGCTAGCTTTAAGCTGACCATACACCTTACAATTATCTGCAGATTCTCTATGGTCAGATGGAAAAGGTGCAACAGATTCCTCCATCTACACTAAACTGTGTGGATGGAGTAATCTCCACCTGGGCCAATCTGTTGATCTTTTTCCATCTAACCACAGAAAATCTGCAGATAATTGTAAGGTGTATGGCCAGCTTTGGACTGGTTTCTCCCACTTAGGGCTTTGCTGCAACCCCCAGGTGCTGACCTTGTAGCTCTTGTCATGATGTTTTTGTCTTGCTCTAAGTTTTAGTGGCCATGTAGGTTGGCCATTTTTGTTTGCCATCTCCAGGCTTGCTTTGGAGGTTAAACATGTTGTAAATACAACAGGATACACTGATTTGTATTACTGACAGTTGGAGATGTAATGTTATCTTTTAAGCTGTAGCTGGCAGTATACTCCACTGTTAGTCTCTAGTGCTGACTCATCTATGGTATACAGGAAGTGTTATCTGTCATGCTGTATTCCTGTATACAGACATGTAACAGTCTCCTAAGCAAGTCAAACTTCAGCATTCCTCAAGATTTCGGTGCTTCATCTAAACACATAACCAACAAAACAAACCGTCCCTTCCAGATGTCTCTCACAATTATTGCCCCTGCTCTAAAAATGCATTAAATGATAGTGAAGCTTATCCAGACAGACCTCACATTCAGAATTCTTCTCATCGTGTACAGATGAAGTTGTAATGATAGTAAAATGCAGAAAACCAGGTACAATCACGTTGCAATTTATGATTAATGTATTTTTGCTCCCGGAAAAGTGGGATTTGATGCTTTAAAAAACCGCACCATCTATTGCAGGTTGAATGAAATGGATATATTACAAAAATGCCTACAATGAGTTCAAAACAGATATGAAAATCGCATAAATAAGGATGAATACAACCCATGTGACATGTTGCAACTATGCGGATAGACATAAGAGCTTCCGGAATAGGACAGATTACACTGTGATCCTTTGTTACTTAGTAATCTAATAAAACCTACATGAAAGCAGAACTCTAGTCAGATATAAAAGAAACAAATGAATGCAAACCTTGAATCATTAATACATCACAATACTCCTAGGCTTGGATGGGTCTAGGGTGACCTGGGATCAGAGGAAGTGAGTTGAAAAATCTCTGGATTGATGGTAAATATTAGAGCAGTATTGTCACTCTGTCTGTACATAGGCTATTATTTGTGACTGCTGGAGTAATACTTTGAAGTGACTATAAAAAATAATAATACTGGTAGTGGTTAGGTACCTGCACATACCTTCAGGAGCTTTTGTTTCCCTCTGCTGTGGCTAATCCTGCGGCACTTTCTGATTGGCAGCCCCCTGCTACCTTACACACATTCCTATGAGGCAGACCATTATAGTGATCAGATCAGATAGGCCATTCTGTGATCATGTCACAAAACACACATGCTAAAATTCTGTGAATAAGCCAAGCCTTCACTCACACTGATATTTTGCAATCCTGTGGCAGAAATCCCAAATCTCCTGTTTCGAAGCAGCCGCTGTACCAGTTCAAGTTACAGACCGAGTGACAGCGGCCACATCTGTAAGCAGCAGTCTGCATGTAATCGTATGTGATACAATTACATGTGGTTTGGAATAGATCACTGTCCCTGGATATATCTAGGGAACTCCAAAACGCATAGAGTGAATGTAGCCTAAGAGTCCTCCTACTGCATTCAAGCTAGCCAGGCATTTTTCTGTATGCACCCTTGTTTTGCTGCTAAAAAATTATTTGCATACTGAACTATGGTGGTTTAAATGGATGTAGGTCATGAAAACCAGAACTGACAGGAGACACTGCAGAATGTGATCTGTATCCACTCCTGGTTTCAGAGGTTAGCTAACTGTACAGGAAGCACTCAACAACTTTTTGTGGTACAACACTGTCTCAAGACAATAGAAGGTTCATGATTACACAAGTATTTTCGCACTGGTGGAACAATATACAACAGATCTATTCCTGTTATGTAAAATGGACAGAGAGATGGGTGCAGCCTGCCCCAGATGCATGCCGTTCAGTCAGATTGATCTCATACTTATCCATCCCTGTAAAGTTCTGGCCGATATCAATCAGCAGAGCCAGCAGCATGTGGCAGTGGAGAGCCTCCTCTCGTCTCTATTCAGCTCAAGATTATTAGTCACATACAGTAGAAGACTTGGGATCTTCCCTGGATATCAAATACACTCGGAATGTCACTGTTTAGTATGACAATCACACATGGCCAACAATCCTCATTTAAAACAAATGACAAGATATAGTTTGATGGGTTATCAGGTTTTTAAAAATGCACCTATGGAAAATAAGCCTGACATAGTAGTAAGCACTATGAGGTGCCAGTATCCATTGCTTTACAACCATCTTCAGGATCTAGGAACCTTCTATATCCAATGTGCATATAACAACCATTTCAAAGCCAAAGACCAGATCATCTCTAATGCCATGGTGCTCTGGGTAGAATGACCACTGTTTGAGCCTTTGCCTATCAGATGTGAGGGGGATGGGAGAGCCAGAAGGAGGCATTAACTGGCAATTTATGGGGTTTACAGTTTATTTTCCCGATGCAGGTTTACTTTAAACAAAAAAAAAGATTGTATTTCCAGCATGCTTGCTTCACATTAGGTGACTAAAGTTCTACAAAGCTCTAGCCGAGAATATCATTGACTCTCAAGCAGTTGATTGTGGTACATGGCACTGCAGGACACTAGGAACCTTCTCGTCTCAGCAAGAGGCCTCCAGCACTGAGGACAGTTTATCCTTTCTTGAGCTGTAACATTTTGGACTGGTCCCATGTACAGTATATTAATACTTCGACTCTGGCCAGACACATTTTTCTGTGTTGGATAGCCATTAGAACCTTGAAGGGGGCATTTTTTTCCCATGGTGGGGCTCTCACATTACGTCATGTCTGACAGCAGCATTGTGACACAAATCAGTAAGAAAGGTGTGCTATAAAATATTCATGACACTGGAATCTAGCAGCTCCCCCTTCTAAAAACACTGAATGACTTTCATTTTAGAGAACAGGATTGTGTCATTTGCTTATTAAGAAGTTGAACGAATGACTAACTCAAAATCTACCACATACTGTAAAAAACAAAACTAGGTTCTGTACAAAGCTGTACTTTTAGACTATTTACATTTAATTAGACAATTCTCCATGGATGAGATCCGTAATGTACATGTCATATTTACACCTACCACTCTCACCCATGCCATCCCCGTCCATACACTGTATATGTGGAGGTGGGGACCCC